TTATTGATGTATGAATCATAGTTCATCACGATTCTGTGATTCGATTCGTATCATGATGAATCCGGAACTCAGAATTCAGATAATTTTGCGAGCCTGATCATCATCATCAGAAAGTATTCATAAATTTATTTAGTTCACATGCATGGTTCCGTAAATATTACTTCTATATACTTTGATGCATTATTGTTGAAGCTGATTTCTTGTAAGAATACGTAATTAATTTGTAATTTAATTAAATTTTATGTTAGCATTTACTATAACATCTATGTACTCTTATCCAAGCAAAACAAGTCATGATAACATCAAAGTGTCATTAAAATGACTCATTATTAATCGAAAAGTTCTCTTAATAATCATTTTGGAGTCATTTTGACAACATTTTGATATCATTATATCTTTTTGTTCTGTTTGGATATCTTCAGGATGTAATTTGCATTCATGTGTTGACAAGCTGTGAAGACGACTGGGTACATTAAATAAATTTATTTATTATAGAATTAATATCAATTTCAATAATAGTATATTTATTAAAACGCAATAAAATTACATATTAAACAAATGAGCAAGAAATTGTTGCGTTTGAACAATTTTTTCAGAGTAGATTTTATAATTTACTGTGTTTCCCATGTGTTTGGAAGGGCGCACACGTATTTACTTATCCTTGACTTTATTAACACCATCTTGTTTTTTATATCTTCAAACTGAATGATAATGGGTACTTGTACTTCTTCAACAATTTCTTGAAATTGCGTGTACTGTTTACTATTGCTGATTCTGATTGGAGTAACAATAAGCGTGTGACCTCTAATGAATATTGAGCTTTTGCTGTCGCGATAGAAACCAACAATTTGTAAAACAGTATCATTTTTCAGTAAAATGATAGTATCGTTTGTTTTTTTAGGGCGAGTATATGTTACACTATGATAAACGAATCCGCGGAAAATACATCGATTATATACTTTGACAGTAATGTCATCGCGTAATATTGAACAATCTCTCGGATCCGTGCAAAATTCACCTTCACCTATGAATACAACATCATTGAGGTTGCTGTTAACATACTTAGTTAATCTCCGATGAGAAAATAAATTTTGGGAAAACTGTAGAGCACCTTTTGAGTGAAAAGTATTGCCTTCACAAGTACTTTGAAATATGCTCAAACGCAACAATTTCTTGCTTATTTGTTGGTATACACCTTTCGGTCCATTCAATTGTTGCTTGCATATATATATTCCATTTTCGAATTGAAACGTAGAGTTACCCCATAAAGGTCCACATTTTATAACAGATTGTACAACGTGTGTGATAACATGTACGTTAAAAGTCATTGCGGTTTCTCCATAGAAGATTTCGGTTTCGCCTACAAAACGCATGAGATCTATTTCGCATTCTTTCAAATCCAATACAGATATCTCGGATTGAAGAAGGCGATATATACTTTGAGAAAAAAGCATAAACGAATCAAGTGCTTTGTCGTCGAAAACATCTTTTAAGCAGGGATAGCAATAAAAGGGCAGCCATGCTCGCCATTCCGTCGCTTTCCATTTTGCTGCATCGACTAATGAACGGGGCAGTCTATGAATTTCGTGAGGAGGTTGCATAGCGAGTAATCGTCTATTTATTTCTATTCGTTTTGTTCTAGACAAATAGAATTGATGTTTCGGATTACTTATCCACATATTCCACATTTGCTGGGCCACTCCCAATATAAAAGTGTGCATGTATTCTAAAGGAAAGTTCCAAATGCAATCGAATGATGGTATTTTCGAGAGAACTGTGAGTCCTTTTACGCCTCTGACAATTTTGTGTAATTTGGTGGCGTTTATTGCATCTTTCAGATATTTGTCATGCGTCCTCAACGAAGGATTCTCGTCATCATCGCTTGTTAGCATTGGATACCTCATTGTGTCAATATGTTTTCTGAACGCATAGCACCAACTACAACCATAATGCCCATTAAACTGTAACCTACTTGCTACCAAAGCTCGTGCTGGCGAATCGACAAGTGCGTTCAACGGTCTTACAATTATCATTTTTGTTTTTCCACTCGCTGTTGTTAATTGTAATTCACGATTCATTAGTCGAAGTATCATTTTGACGAAAGTATTCAAGTACAGATTCATAAATTGCGGTGATGGTTCTTTCGATCCTATCCACAGAGAACATACAATTGTGTTTTTAAAACGCAAGGATGGTGAAAGTTCGTTGACTGTAATTTGAATAGGCCAGAAACTTCGTTTCGAACTTCGGAAAAGAGGTGCACCGTCCGTATTAAAGTTAAAAGTAATCAGTGACGCATTTGACCGATTTTCTCTGTACAAATTTTTATACGTTTCGCTGTCGTACACATCACATATTGTTTCATTTCGATTGTGTATTTTATTTTCAATCATTTCCAAATTATTAACTAAATCGTCAAACACATCTTCTCGCTGTAGAAGCAACTTTATTTGATATTCTATATCAAGATTTATAAAATAATTAGGACTTTCTGTTGTTAAAGCATATAGTTTTTTACATTTATCGCAAATTATCTGTTGCGTCGAAAAATTGGTTGACTTTATCGATTCTAGCAAGGTGACATTACATTCCGAACAGTAGAACGTGTATGATATTTTTTGCAAAGGCGGATTATACAGCTTTGTAACTCGATAAGAACTGACGTCCCAGTCCTTGAATTGAGGTCCTGCCAGTGTTTTAATTAACTCGAGAATTGCAAGCTGGGCTTCGCATGAAAAGCGATGCCTTAATGACAAACCGTCGGTCATCTTTATGACATCGGATACTGTTATTCCAGCTGCAGGAAATATAAGCAGATTATCATGAAAGTTTCTTCTATTGTCGATATCTTTATCAGAGTCATGTAAACTATCGTTAGAATCGTCACTCATGTCATTTGCCATTCCATAATAAGTAGGATTTGATTCTTCATGGAGATGAACGCTGCTGTCAATCGAAGAAGGCCGGGGCAATGATGGATTCTCCGGTTGATCACTATCATTTGTGGACGCATCATTCATATTCATATGCTTATCACCAAAACTGCGCTTCATAACATTTTTATGAGCAAAGCGAAGAGCAGTTGTATCCTGTCAAAAAACGTACGAATATATCAAAGAAGTTAAAAGTACATTTACAATTCCCAGCAAACACAGTCTAATGTTATATAACATATGTAAATATATATATTTTATATTTTTATTATATGGCAGTTATATATTTTGTATTTGCTGAGTTAATACTCTTTATAACTGTATAATATATTTGTTGAAAGGTTTACATTTTATTGAGAGCTATGACCACAATTGCGTTATGTGTACACTTTTTTCATGTGATATACAAAATAATTTGTCGTACAAAAAATTTCTCAACACAAAAAAATTTCTATTTATTGTCATCAATTCAGAAAAATTTTTTCATTAATATTTGGACAATTTATTTGTTTTTTATTCAAATAAATGATAATAAAATATTCAGTTTAAGTGATTTCTCTTAGACTTACATCTGACATAACATCAAGGCAAACCAGTTCTGAAACTGGAAGATCAAATTCTGAATGATTTTCCAGCGGACTATTGGAAGTACCTAGAAAAAACGTACATTATTGTAACTCTTAAATTATGTATTTAATTGTTTAATGTTGTAGGAAAATATCATATGGTTGACATATTATGATATATTATGTGAAAATAGAAGGGCCCGTATAATTTGAGCAGACCATGTCACAAATGCCCTGTATATGTACATATGGAATACGGGCTTTCAAATTTAACTTAATATAATATTACACAAATTTTGTTAATGCAAAAGAAAAACTTTGGTTTTGTCAATTAAATTGACATATAATTCCTACGTATGAGGCATTTACGGCAGGAGAGGCACAGACTTTCTATTCAAATTTCAATTGTATATTCTTCCAGGCTTCGGAATGAAATATGCAAAGGTGTAATTTCAATGTGTCTTTATACTTATTTCATGTGTCGATTCCTTCGAGAGTCCTGTTAATTTATATCCGGTCTCTCTATCTTCATTCACATAATTTTTCAAAGTTCAAGGTTTCAAGATGGAATTAAAGTACAAAATAATAAAATATGTTTATAGAAATAAAATTTCTGCATATATAGAGTAGATTCTCTACATTTATTTTGTTGTTAAATTACAATCTGTACTAACATGATATGTCTCACTCGAATCGTGTTAAATATTTCCATAAATCTGCGGTAAGCGAGAGGAATACGTATCCGTAGCAAATAAGCCCAAAAATATACTTTTCATGAAATTTATTAAAAATATCTTACTTGATGGACAATCGCCGTCCTGCTGTAATTTAGCAGCATCAATGCAATCACGATTTCTTCCTGATTTGAACTTTATTTCGTTCCAACGCTTGTGCGTCCGAGGATCTACCGACGAGCTTCTGTAGTCGGGATCCAAAAAACTTAGGTAATGCTTGCGTTTATTTGTACCACGATCCATTTTGCGTTGAACTGCTAAAAGATTATTATATCTATCAGTAAATAAAATGGAATTGAAAAAACAAAAACGGACAGTTGGAATTAAATAGAATGGAGTAT